TCCTGCTGCCCTGCTCCGTGCCCCACCAGCGCTGGCCCCGGGACACTGCCATGGGCTCTGCGCTCCTGCATGCCCACCCGCTTCCACTTTTGCCAACCCCATCCTTACCTAAATTTCCCACTTGGGACAGGGAGGTATGAACAGCCCCATGATCCCAGGTCAGAAACCCCTGCTACCAAGGGGCTTCTGGCTGGGGGGCAGGGCTGGGCCGGCCCTGCTATTGCAGGAGCCTGCCAGGGCTTCCCCTGGGTCCTACTGCCCCTGGCTATTGTCATCTTTGACAGACAGCTAGGGCAGCTGAATATTAATTTTCTAAAATTTTTAGGGGCCCTGCAGGCCGGTCAGAATGGCCTGGCAGGCTGGATCCAGCCCGCAGGCCGTATTTTGCCCACCCCTGTGTTAAAGGATGGCATCTAATTGTGTCATCTCCAAGGACACTGTTACAAAATAGTCAGAGGGGACCAGCAAGTATTGGGGGAAGTCCCTGTTCCCCCGAGAACTACCACGAGGGACTAGAAATAACAGTCACAAACTGGCAGAGGGTAGATTCAGACTAGACATCAGGAGGCACTACTTCAATGTCAGGGCGGCTAGGATCTGGAACCAACTTCCAAGAGAAGTGGTGCTGGCTCCTACCCTGGGGGTCTTTAAGAGGAGGCTAGATGAACACCTCGCTGGGGTCGTTTGACCCCAGTGCTCTTTCCTGCCATGACAGGGGGTCGGACTTTATGATCTGTCAAGGTCCCTTCTGACCCTACAAACTATGACACAGTAACTAGACAGTTAGTTGAATTTATTAACTGTACAGAACATTTCATTGCTTAATAAAGTCAGTTTTCATTTTAAAATATATTTGAATAGATTTACATTAGAAGAAGTATTATTCAACACATTGAAACTTGTTTTAAAATGCCACTTTTATAGCTTGAATTGAATTCTAATTTCCATTCAAATGCAAGTTTACCAATCAGGGCTAAGGAAATTAATAACCTAGTAAAGCACTGGAACAGGTTACCTAGAGAGGGGGTGGACTCTCCAGCCTTCAAGGGTTTTAGGGCCCAGCTCAACAAAGCCCTGGCCGGAATGATCTAGTTGGGGATGGTCCTGCTTTAAGCAGGGGGTTGGACTAGATGACCTCCTGAGGTCCCTTCCAACCCTAATTTTCTATGAATCCATGTTAAAGAAATGAGTTATTCATCCTTTCATAAGTCAAGTAAAATATACATTTAAGTAATATCATGCTCTAATTGCTTAAATAAATATGAATAAATAAAGTTTTTCCTTTGGTTATCAAAAAGAAATACTTTAAAATAAAGGCCATATTTCTGCTGAAAAAATGTGCATTTCAATGGTTATGAACACTAGCCAATTAAAAGAAAAGAAAAAAAAAAAAAAGGAAGCCTCTCCTTAAAACAGCTGTCAAGTACAAATGCAGAGCATTATTAGAATGATTTAAATCAAAAATTTCTGCTGATTTAAACCAGGATTAAAACTGATAAATCACTTTGCTTTATACCAATTCACTTTGTGTAAGTTTGTCTAGCTTCAGTTTCCAGCCACTAGATCTTGTTCTACCTTTGTTAGATGAAAAGGGCCTCTGTAATTACATATAATTATATAGCCAGGTGTACCACAAATTAAGCCCCATGTCCTACCCAAGTGCCAATTCAACCTCCTTCCCCTACCCTATCTGCTGCCCCAATTTCTGTTCCCTGCCCTGTGCTCCCTACCCAATCTGCTGCTCTACTTTTTGTTCCCTACATAATCTGTCACTGCACTGCCTGCCCCCTCTCCTTTCTGCCACGACACAGGTTGACCACCCTTGATGTAATTGAGTGTAACCCTTACATTTGTCTTTGAGTTTCTTTATCAGGAACGCAAGCATGTTTTTCCATTTATCAGTCTGCTTAGTTTGTCATTCTCATAGCTGTTCTCTAAACACTTTTCAATTTATTGCAAAACAAGGATTTTTGTGGCATCTTTTACTCGACTGACTGTATAGTTGGGAGAGCTGCTGGACAAGCTTTCAGGCATCAAATGCCCTTCTTCAGGTCACTCAGCTCTCCCAGCTGTGCAGCTGGTTTAATAAAAGATGCCAGAAACCATCTTTGCCCTTCATACATTTCCTGGGACATCACAGCTCCACAACACTCCAGCCCTACTTCAATTTATCAAAATTCTTCTTGAAGTTTGGATGCCAGAACTGGGCAGAGAATTCTAGCAATGCTCACAGCAGTACCAACTATAGAAAGACTAAAGCTATATAAGAACAGGAATAAAGCCCATTTTTTTAAAATACACATAGAAATGGAGACCAACTCCCTTCTGATAGCCATAGAAACTGAAGCCCTTGGCACACATTCATTTTATGGCACAATGGGATCTGATCCTGGATCCCAACAATCGTGCCTTCTACCATGCCACACATGTATGGCGGGGCTCCCCCTGCACTTCCCCTGTCAGTCCCAGGATGGGAATTGACAATCAGCTGACTGCCAGTCCCCACCCCAGGACTGTCCTAGGGTAGGTTCAAGACTCCCTTGCCAGCCCAGGACTACACCAACAATCAGCTGATTGTTGGTCCCAGCCCTAGGACTGCACAGGAACTGGTTTGAGACTCCCGTGCAGTCCCAGGACTGGGATAAACAAAAGCTGACCATCACTCCCCACCCCAGAACTGCAGCTGAGTGTTGGGCTGGCTCTGGTTATGCTGCTACACATTCAATTTAAAGCGCAAGGAAAGCCAGCTACAAAGTGTTATGCATCTTCTATGGAATATTTTTGTGGCTGGTTTCCTGTTGTGTAAAGAATTAATGGCTTGCACATGTGGCAGGTTACTATTTATGACACAATTAACAGCTTAACTGTGTCTTAATTGTGACATCTGCCAGGAGTCTAAGAGACCTTAAAACATATTTGAATGATAGAAGGCTTGTACCTTTAGATTTCAACGGACTGAAATCTTGTCAGATAATTACCTCTGAAAGAGATGCATCAACCTTGGAAGGCACTTTTAGGTCCAGCCACGGCTGGTAGTTTTCCAGAACCAAAGCAGGTCTGTAAAATACAGAGTATAGAAGAGAGTTAACATAATACTTAAGAAAAAATTCTACCAGCAAGATATAAAATGTAACAAATGTTAAGATAAGAAATGCCACACTGTGCGACTTACCTGTGCCTCTTGCATTTGACCTTGCCACATACTGCACAGCTGTGACCTTGGGGAAACAGTTCCTGCAGTTCCAACTGCTAAAAGAGAAAGAAAAGCTTCCTGTTAAATCCTTTCTTCATCATACCCGATGCCTCACTGCACATATGAATTAGCCAATTTGCTTTTATTGTATGCAATTAAAATACAATTGATCAGCCTTAAATATCACCCCCCATCCTCCACCAGGAACACAACTTAGTAAAGTACTAAAGGCTAAACAACTGAGTTTAATTAAAGGATTACTTAGACTGCTAGCAGACATTAAAAACAAAACAAAACAAAACAAAACATGCCGCTTTACTTAAAACTCGCTACATTACTGTACTGAGCCCACCCCACGCATGCCCAGAAGAGGCAACCCCTTATTTGGACCCAGCTTGTCTGACGTCTATAAAGGCTGGGTGCTTTAGCAGTGCTTTTTTAGCACTTTTATCCAATAGCTGATTGAATCAGCTTTAGCTAATAGCACCAAAAAAGCCCCACTGAAGTGCCCAATCTATACAGATGTTTCAGAGCTGGGTCAAAGCAACGCACTGCTTCTTCCTGTAAAGCAGGGAGTTTTTTGTTTTTGTTTAAGTCTGCAAGCAGCCTTATATCTTAAAACTGCCCAATCAACATTAAACATATTGCAAAAAACAACAATTAAAGGACCTGGGAACATGTCTCCCAAACTTACATTCACTCAAAAGTAACCTCAAAACAGGGTTGTACAGGCTCAGATTTAAAGACACAATTACTACACAAAATTTCTTACATTGGTGACAACTTAAATAATATGGCTTTCTTCTTTCAAACACAAAAAGTTAACCCTAATGCATATTATTAGTCCAAGTGGGTTCATTTTAACTATGCATATGGGCCTTTAAGTGTATACAGGCAGTCCTCAACTTATGACGTTTTGAGTTGCAATGAACGGTGCTTACAATCTTTATAAAATTGTGCTGTTTTGAGGTTCCAATGCCAGTTTTGACTTTACAATGCTGGACACAGCTGCCTCCAGCTGGTAAATCCCTTGTGGTGGGAGGAGGGAAGGGGCTGGGGCGGCAGATCAATGCCCCCAGTGAGAGTGGGATTGGGGCTGGGACAGGAGCGGAGGCAAAAGCTGCCCAGCCAGGCTGCCGGAAGGGTACAGGGAGGGGGCGGGAGGGCTCCTGCCGCTGTGCACTACTGGTCCAGAAGTGGCTCGTCCAGAGGCTCACACCACTGCTGCTGCCGCCAGTCCAGGAGGGCATTGGGGGGGGTGGGGGGGAAAGGGGGAGGGAGAGTGTTTCCCCCAGATCTGCATGGGGCAGACAGGGGTTGCGCCGGACCGTGCTCCGGGTGGGTGGCAGAAAGCACTGGGAGCAGGGGTATGCCCTCCTAGAGATGTGAAGGCCCGGAAAAAAAAAAAAAAGAGCAACAGAAAAAAAACCATTTTTTTCCCCAAGGACTTTTGTTTTTTTCCGTGAAATTAAATTTTTTTTTAAAATTAAAAAGAAAACTCTTATGAAAAAATTTCTTTTAGAATGATGAATAAAATGTTTAAGACAAGGTGTTCATATATTGCTACCCTTTACTCCTGAAAATGTTTTTTGATAACTATGTAATAGGAAGACTTTTATGCAAGACTATCTACAGTATCAGATCATTACAATTCCTGTACACCAAGGACAAGCAGTACAGTATAACCCTCAAATGCAAGAGCAAGATGCATTTCTGCCCCCAGGGGGCGCTGCCATTTTCACAAGAGAAGGAACAAGGATTCATTGCTTTCTTTGTTTGTGGACTTCCTCTACCGTTGACTTTTGATCTAGAGGTTGGTGGATCTGCTTCTGTCCTCCTGACTAGGCCTCAAAGGACTGGGAGTGGACACTGGTAGCAGCATCCATTCATTCTTGTAGAGATTAGAAACAAGGAGCTTATTGCCCTGCTTGCTCAAAAGCCTCAGGAGAGCAGACAGGATTCATTGCTTTCTTTGTTTGTGGACTTCCTCTACCGTTGACTTTTGATCTAGAGGTTGGTGGATCTGCTTCTGTCCTCCTGACTAGGCCTCAAAGGACTGGGAGTGGACACTGGTAGCAGCATCCATTCATTCTTGTAGAGATTAGAAACAAGGAGCTTATTGCCCTGCTTGCTCAAAAGCCTCAGGAGAGCAGACAGGGCAAGTCTAAAGGTTTTGGAGTTGGAAGGAACCTGCTTCCTCCTGGCCCTGTGACCTTGAGATCCACAGAAGTACAGAAGCTGCACAAAGGAGCTGAAAGAAAGTATACTTCTTTATTGAGAGGTAAGAGTTTAAATTTCTCTGAATTCAGTGTGTTAAATTATTTAGGCTGCGTTAGTAATATTTTCATAACCCGTGCAATTCATAATTGAATTCCTACTAATCTGATGTTTTGTGACAAATCACTCAAACTTAAGTGAGGGGAAGCCTGCAGGGCAAGGAAATTGTTCATAGTTAACTCTGAGGAGGTCTTTCCTTCATCTGTTAGTAAATTTGTATATGCTGTAGCTTAGTGTGTGTGTGTGTACACACACACACACACACACACACACACACACACACACACACACACACACACACACACACACACACACAAGCTAGCCACTAAGTTACATTTTTTTTCTCCCTCAGCAAAATGGCACAACCAACTTCTAGCATATGGAAGCATTTCCACACTGCAAGTTATTTTGAGGAAAAAAAAAATGTGATTTGCAAATACTGTCAAATGAAATATGAATTTCCAAATGCTACTAGGATGACCAACACTCCTTGTATGTAACAAGTGTCCTGCAGACATTAAAAAACCCTTCATGAGTGTATGCAAGGAGGAGGTAGATCATGATGGAAATGCAAGTAGCTCTTTCCAACTTTCTCGACCCAGAAGTCCTCCTACTGCTGCTGCTGCTTCTATTACATCAGTATCACAAAAGGTTGCCGAATCAACATCCTCAGGTAACCAAATATCGCAATCAACTGTACACAGAAGACTTTCAATAGTTTCATTTGTAGACAAGATGACACCTGAAGATCAGGAAAAAATTGACCAAGCTCTTGCAAGAGCAATATATTCTTCTGGGACGCCAATGTCAATAACTGAAAATGCATACTGGCAGGAAGCTTTTAAATTACTAAGACCATCATACCATTTGCCCAGCAGACATTCTTTGAGCAAGTCTCTTCCAGAGTCAGAATATGAAAATGTAATGCAATCTGTGCAAGGAAAAAAAAAAAAAATTCAACAAAGCACTGTCTTGCAGTACTTACAGATGGATGGACAAATGGGCAGGAAGAAGGAATCATAAAGTTTGTGATAACAATACCTCAACCAGTTTTTACAGACGCATTGAAACAAGAGAGAACAGGCATACTGCAGAGTATAACAGTAGTAAAATATGTGAAGTCCTACAGAAGATTGGGAGTGGTAAAGTATTTGCTTGGCTGACTGATAAGGCAAGTAACATGCAAGCAGCATGGGAGATCATAATGGATAAATATCCACATATTACTACAATTCGCTTCCTGTGCTAAACTTGCTTCTTAATGACATCATAAAGTTGGACACTGCAGAAGATCTATAGAAAAGCAAAAGAAATTATGAAACATGTAAAAGCTACTCATATTGTAGCTGCAGTCTTTAAGAAGCAGGAAAAAATATAGTGACATTCAAACTCTGCAGTAAAACTAGATGGGGTGGAGTGATGAGCTTATTTGAAAGTTTACTAAAAAAAGAAAGAAGCTCTTCAAGAAACAGTAAAGATTGAGGATCTTAAAGTACCCAGAAGTGGAAGGAACACTGTACTTAATGAGGATGTCTTCTGGGTTCAGCTGCAGAACTCCCTGAAGATTCTAAAGCCAATTTCTTCAGTAATCACTGCACCCGAATCAGACAGTGCACTTCTGTCAGACATTCCTTACCAAACGGCCCAGATAAAAAAATCAACTGTTTTTGAGAATCTAAGTGTATCTTCACTTACAAGTATAAAAGAAAGAAAAGTGAAGAACTTTAGTAACAGACAGGAAGAATTTTGTTGCCAATCAATTCATGCTGCTGCAAGTCTCTTGGATCCAAGATTCAAAGGCTGAAATATTAGTGATGATAGCACTGTTACTGCATTTGACTGGATTACAAAAGAAGCAACACACTTAGGACTTCATGTTGGATAGGTACTTTCAAACGTTACAGAATACAGAACATCTTCAGGTATCTGCAACATGGTGGCAAGATTCCTCCATTTCCTGCAGCACGTGAAAAAAAACTCGTCTATGTTTGGAAATACTCACACCAAATCAAGAAATAAATTAACACGTGAAAGAGTAGAGAAGTGTGTCTCAATTCGGGCAAACCTTCAGTTTTCAGAAGTCCATGAAGATGATAAAAAAAATGAAGGATCAGAAGAATCAGAAACTGCTGATAGTGACAGCTCAGAAAATGAGACCAATTAGACAAAGTTTCATGTAGCAAAATTTGTATTCAATGACTTAGGTTTTTTTCCCCCTTTTTCCCCCCCTCAGCTCTTTTCTAAAAATGAATGCTTTCTATATCTGCTTGACACTGTGGAGGAGACTAAGTCCAGATTACATAATAACTTCCTTTGTTTTACTATAATGTTGATGGTTTCCTCTTTTTTCAACTTTAGTTTTTGCCAGTTTATGAGAAGCAGGCAAAAATTAAGAGATGCTAGGTTGCTTAGAGATCAGCAGTTTGTAGCTCCATTTGGAACAAAAATTAAAAACTTTTTAAAGTAAACTCCATTAGTAAATTTGTAATGAATGTCTGAATAAACTAGACTTTTAAATTTAATAAATATACCAAACAATTTTATGAGCAAATCAAGTTACACATAATACATTTTATTTTCTTAAAGTAGTAAAGTGAATTTAGATTTGTAAAGGGGCTAATAAAAAAAGTATTGCAAAGATTTAAATTTTTCCCAAAATTCCCATTTTTTTTCCCCATGGCTTCAAAATTTCTGGAAACTTTACCTCTCTGTGCCCTTCTGCCGCTCACCCAGCCAGGGTGGGATGGAGCCACTGCGCTGCCTCCGGACAAGCAGCGCGCAGCAACAGGAGCTGCCCCGAGCCTCCCAGATGAACATCAGCTTCATCCTGCCCCGCCCCCCTGGGGGAGCAGTTGCAGGAGTAGCGGTTGGGGGGGGGGTGCCCCTGGATTGGGGCAGGATGGGTGAGGCCAGGGCTGCACCAGGCTGCACTCTGGGAGGGTGGTGGGGGCTATGAAGGAGCTGCAGCGAATTTTAGGGTGGCTGCAGCCCCCGCATACCCCTGCTCCGCCACCCACCCCACCCCGGGGGCACACGTAATGCTGTGCTGCTGCTCACCCAGCCGGGGGGCCCGGGACGAAGCCGCTGCTCATCCAGGAGACGTGAGGAGGCCGCGGCAGCTCCAGCGTACCATTT